TCTGTATGTGGGATCTGAACCCTCGGCGGGAGCGCCACCACGCTCCCAAGCGGCGCACTGTAGCAGTGCGCCACCGGGCCGGCCCCTCTGGGTTCTTTATTCTGTTCCATTGGTCTGTCTGTTTTTATGCCAGTACCATGCTGTTTTTGTTACTATAGCTTTGCAGTACAATTTGAAGTCAGGTAGTGTTATACCTCCAGATTTATTTATCTATTTTTTTGCTCAGGATTGTTTTGGCTATTCAGGGTCTTCTGTTGTTCCATATGAATTTTAGGATTTTTTTTTCCCATCTCCGTGAAGAATGTCATTGGATTTTTATGGGGATTGCATTGAATCTGTTTATTACTTGGGTTGTATGGACATTTTTGATATTTAGCTATTATAAATATATTTTACAAAATGTTTTATATTTAAAATTTTTTAAAATATTTATAATTTTTAAAGTATTAATTATTTAGTTTCACTCTTTTGTTTTCTGAATTCTGAACATTTCTAAAATAAAAGGCTGGTATAAATACTGGCATTTTTTCAATGTGTAACATAAACACCATAACAGTGGTCATGTCATTTTGCTCCTGTATTGTACCCACTTGCAGAGAGCCTTAGCATTAGCCAGGTCACAGGTCCAATCACAAGCCTGTGGCTCTGTGTACCCCTGGATGATGTGGGTCACCCCTGCCATCTGGCTCTAACACTCTGAGGTCTGTCTGCCAGGTCAGGACTCTACACAGACCTTTTAGCCTCTTAGTTTCACTAGGCACCATAATGCATATTCACTCTATGAGCACTTCATTAGTAGAAAATGATTAAATCATAATTATAAGCTTTTCCAGGGTAAATCATTACCCACATCCTGGTAACTCAAATATTTTCTCTCCACTTGTCTATATTTATATGCTATTTCTATGAAGCAATAAAGATGACTGCAGCTGTAAAGCTAATTGGTTAATCACTGTAAGTCTCTTTTTGACCATTCCTTTTGCAAACACAGTTTACCAACTCTCTGTGGGAAAGAGGAAATTAATGGACTTTCTGTGGGAAACAGAGGAAATTAACAAAGTGTTCATCTCCTCTTGTCTACCAACATTTTTTGAGTCTTAGGAAAGTAACATATTGTATTAGGCCCTCAGCTTTCTAAACTGGGTGGCCTAGTCCTAAGAACAATAGTTCTGCATGTTAAATCACTACACAAACAAGATTGTTTAAAAAATTTAAGGCAAGAGTGAGGGATCTCTTTCAAAACAAGTAAGAACTGAATAATAATATTTGAGAAGTCAAAGAAAAACAAGACTGCAATTTACAGGCTCTCTTCATTCATCTTATATTAAATTTATCTTTTAAAATATCATGCTTTTTCTGTTTCCAGAGAATTTAAGCACTACAATTTTATGACGTGAAGATTTGTGGCTAAATTGTATTTTTCTCAGGAAGCCATCCTTCTTCCCTCCCTTACTCATTTTTCTTCTTCTTTCTTTCTTTCCTCCCTCTCCACATCTTTATTTCTGCCTCTGTTGACTAAACATTTCAGAGATTTTATGTTAGCTTTCTTTGTTTCCCGTTTTTAAAAAAATTTATACCCAGATGTTTCAGGCCACAAGGTTGACATTATATTTTTGTTCTTTTCAATAGTTTCTGGTCCATGCCCTAGGACACAAGCAAAACAGAAACCCAAAAGAAAATAAAATTTCACACTGAACTCAAAGAATATTATCACTACTCTCCAATTTTAATATATGTATATATATATGTTTCCTATTTTTGGTCAGCTAATACGTGTGTAGCTGAGATATTGGAAAATACACATTTGGTCTTCCTT